CAGCAGCAGCAGCAGCAGCAGCAGCAGCAGTCGGCAAGAAACGCAGCGCCGATGTGTGCAGCACGAGCAGCAGCAGCAGCAGGAACAGCAAGACCAACAGCAGCAGCACCAGCAGCTATCCCAGCAACAGCGGCAGCAGCGGGAATGCCAACTGCAACAGCCGCAGCAACAGCAGCACCGCCCCCAAGAAAAGCCGCTCCAGCAGCAGCAGCCGCAGCAGAAACAGCTGCAGCAGCAGCAGCAGCATACCGCCAAAAAGCGCTGCGTTCGGGGAAAAGTCAAGGAGACATAAATGTGTATCTTCCATTTGCTGCCTCTTTCCGATGCTGCTGAAGCTGCCGCAGGTAATGACGAAGGGAGCAGCAACAGGCTTTGCTGCTGCTGCTGCTGCTACTGCTGCTGCTGCTGCTGGGCTCGGCGAAGACGGAGACGCTGCATCCGAGAAGCCCAAATGGGCCCTGCAGGACAAACACAAAAGTGCTGCTGTTGCTGCTGCTGCTGCTGCTGTTAGTGCTATAGTGCTGCCCTTGCGGCTGCTGCTGCTGCTGCTGCTGCTGCTACTGCTGCTGCTAACGTTGCTGCTGCTGCTGCTGCTACTGCTCAGGCAGCGGCAAGGCGCTCCTCGTGCTGCCCCGCCCCCCAAACCCTAAACCCTAAACCCTAAACCCCAAACCCTAGTGTTTGCTGCGGACTTAGGAGTGAGAGATCTGCTGCTGAGGGTCTGCAGCGCAGCAAGCATTGCCTCCTCCTTCCTTCTTGCTGCTGCTGCTGTTTCCTCTTGTTTAAATCTTGCTGCTGTCATGTCCCCCATCTTCAGCAAGCCCGCGCTCCTGATGCTGCTGCTGCTGCTGCTAGAGCTGCTGTCGAGAGGGCTGGTAGGCGTGACACTGTCGCCTTCATTGCTGTTGGTCGAGCTGCTGCTGCTGCTGCTGCTGCTGCTGCAGCTGCCGCTGCGGCTGCTGCGGGAGCTGTTCTGCAGGGTGCGCGTCTTGTGTCTGCTGCTGCTGCTGCTGCTGTGGCCGTGACTGTCCTCGTCCCGGTGGCGGCGGCGCTGCTGCTGCTGCTGCTGCTGCTGTCCCTGCTGCTGCTGGTGCTGCTGCGGAGAGGATTCCTCCTGCTCCTCGTCTTCTAAAGAGAAGCTTAAAAGGCCCCTGCGGGCAACCCTTGTGGCCATTGCTGCAGCAGCGTGGGGCTTACAGCCACAATACTTGCTGCTGCTGCTGTTCTTGCTGCTGTTGCTGCTGCTGCTGCTGAGAATGTCGCCGTGTCTCGTGCGGCTGCAGAACGCCCGCAGCTGCTGCTGCTGCCGCTGCAGCCCCTGGTGCTTCTTCTGCTGCTGATTCTGCTGCTGCTTCGCCCCTGCAGCAGCAGTTGCAGCTGCAGCAAATACCGAAGCAGGAGGCGCTGCTGCTGCTGAGCGGCTGAGCAGCAGCAGCGCCTGGCCCAGCAGCATCCACTCCTGCCTCCCAGGCTAGGGTTTAGGGTTTAGGGTTTAGGGTTTAGAGTTAAAAGCTTAGGAATTAGAGTTTCTCGCGGCGGCTGGTTGACACTGTCAGCCACACGGCTAAAAGCGAGAGCCTGCTGCTGCAGAACAGCAACTGCTGCTGCTGCTGCTGCTGCTGCCGGTTTGGCTAGGTTAACGAAATACAGTGGCGAGATTAAGTGTTGCTGCATTACTTGCTGCTGCGGCTGTAGATCTGCTGCTGTTCCTGCTGCCAAATCCGCCGCTGTTCAAGAACCCGTCAGCATGTGCTGCTGCTGCTGCTGCAGCAGCAGCAGGACCCGCTGCTGCTTGCACTGAAAACCGCTAAATTTCGAATAGTTATTGAGTTTTATTTAAATTGTATCTTCAAAAGACAAATGACGAAGTATATTTGCTGCTGCTGCAGTGCACCGGCAGTTCTAAACCACCTAATACACACATTAGCGGCTCGCATGCAGCAGCAGCAGCAGCAGCAGGAGAGACCGTTGCTGCAGCCGCAGCAACAGCAGCAGCAACAGCAACACTTTGCCCCAACGAGGCCACCCACACTTCCATCTCGTCTAATATGGCAGCAGCACCAGCTGCTGCTGCTGCGGACTTAGCTGCAGCAGCAGCCCTTCAGTAGAGAATGCTCTCTTAGTCGCTGCAGCAGCAGTAGCAGCTGCAGCAGCAGCAATACGAGCAACACCCAAAGACGGATCTCAGGGGCTGCAGCAGCAAGGCCGCCACACGTGGCAGCAGCCACAACACCGGCAGCAGCAGCAGCAGCAGCAATAAAGAGAACTGCAGCAGCAAGATCAGCAGCAGCAGCAGGTGTTTCATAACAATGGCGTTGCGGAGGATAACACCGGCGCTAAAGGTGACCCCACGCTTGCTGCTGTTCTTGCTGCTGCTGCTGCTGCTGCTGCTGATGCACGCCCTCTTTAGCTGTTACTGGAGTCGCCGCTCGCCACAGCTGTATCAACAGCCCGTCTGATTTGCTGTTGTTCTTCTTTGCTGCTGCCTGTTCTTGCTGCTGCTGCTGCTGCTGGTTTTGCGGGGCCTGCTTCTGCTGCTGCGAGTTTTGTGAGGCTGCTGCTACTGCGCTTGCCGCTGCTGCACGCCTTCCTGCTGCTGCTGCTGCTCCTCCATTGTGCTGCAGCGCCTGAGGGCCACAGCCAGTCCCACACGGCCTGTGCTCCCCACGAGGCAGCAGCAGCAGCTGCTGCTGCTGCAGCTGCAGCAGCTGCAGCAGCTGCAGCAAATTCGGCATCAGCATGAGTGGCATCGCCGGCAAAGCCAGAAACAGCTACAGCAGCAGCAGCAGCAGCAGCTGAATGTTCTGCTGAGACAAAGGCAGCTGCAGAAACAAAAACAGCAGCAGCTGCAGCAGCCTTACAGTGGCCGCAGCAGCAGCAGCAGCAGCATGTTTGCTGACTCTCTGATGCGGGCTGTAAGCCGTTTACACGAACTTCCGAGCAGCAGCAGCAGCAGCAGCAGTCGACCCTTAGGAGGCCGTGCTGCAGCAGCAGAAGCAGCAGCAGCTGCAGCAGCAGCAACGGCGCTGCAGCACTTCCAGCGTTTCTTTCCCAAAGCAGCAGCGCAGCCCTCAGCAGCAGACTGGCTGCTTGTCCATAGATTTCTCATTGCCATCCCGCCAGTAAGGGTTTAGGGTTTAGGGTTTAGGGTTTAGGGTTTGGGGTTTGGGGTTTAGGGTTTAGATTGTGTGAAACAAGGAGAGCTCTAGTGCAGACGCTGTGTAGTCATCCCCTAGGTTCCAGGCCTTAGGGTTTAGGGTCTAGGGTTTAGGGTTTAGGGTTTAGGGTTTAGGGTCTAGGGTTTAGGGTTTAGAGTTTAGAGTTTAGGGTTTAGGGTTTAGGGTTTGCGGCTCAGGATAGGGTT